AGACCATCCAGGAAAGCATGACCTCACCAAACAAAGTAAATTTGGCATTAGAGACCAATCCTGCAGAGACAGAGATCTGTGGCTTTTCAGACAGAGAATTTAAAATAGCTACTTTGAGGAAGATCAGTCAAATAACAGATCAATGAAAGATCAAGATGAAATAGAGAATAAATTGAGTCCCTTTCAGATAAATTTTAAAAAGAGATTGAAATAATTTTTAAAAGTCAAGCAGAAATTCTGGAGCTAAAAAATTCAACTGATATATTAAAGAATGTATCAGAGTCTCTCAACAGCAGAATTAATCAAGCAGAAAAAAAATTAATGAAGTTGAAGACAGACTATTTTAATGCACAGTCAGAAAAGGCAAAAGAAAAAAGTTAAAAAGAAAGAATCATGCCTATAAGATCTAGAAAATAGCCTCATAAGGGCCAATCTAAGAGTTATTGGCCTTAAAGGTGGGGGAGAGAGAGAGAGAGAGAGAGAGAGAGAGAGTGAGAGAGAGAGAGAGAGATCAGGGTACAAAGTTAATTCAAAGGGGTAATAACAGAAAAATTTTTAAATCTAGGAAAAGATACCAATATTCAAGTACAGGAATAATATGGAATACCAAACAGATTTAATCCAAATAAGACAACTTCAAGACATTTAATAATCAAATTCCCAAAAGTTAAGAATGAAGAAAGGATCCTAAAAGCATCAAGAGAAAAGAAACAAATAACATACAAAGGAGCTCCAATATGTCTGGCAGCAGAGTTCCCAATGGAAACCTTACAGACCAAGAGACAGTGACATGACACTTACATTCTGAAAGAAAATAATGTTTCTTACAATGCTGAAAGAAAACAACTTTTATCTTGGAATCCTAGAACTTTTATCCAGTGAAAATATTCTTCAAACATGAAGAAGAAATAAAGACTTTCCCAGACAAACCAAAAGCTTAGGGTTTTAATCAACATCAGACCTGTCCTACAAGAAGTGCTAAAAGGAGTTCTTCAATCTGAAATGAAAGCATGCTAATGAGCAATAAGAAATCATCTGAGGCCAGGCGCGGTGGCTCACGCCTGTAATCCCAGCACTTTGGGAGGCTGAGGAGGGTGGATGACGAGGTCAAGAGATTGAGACCATCCTGGTCAACATGGTGAAACCCCGTCTCTACTAAAAATACAAAAAATTAGCTGGGCATGGTGGTGCGTGCCTGTAATCCCAGCTACTCAGGAGGCTGAGGCAGGAGAATTGCCTGAACCCAGGAGGTGGAGGTTGCAGTGAGCTGAGATCGTGCCATTGCACTCCAGCCTGGGTAACAAGAGCGAAACTTCATCTCAAAAAAAAAAAAAAAAAAAGTTCAAAAAAATTGAAATTATATTGTTTCCCACCCTGACCATAATGGAGTAAAACTGGAAATCAATAATGAGAGGAACTCTAGAAACTATTCAAACACATGGAAATTAAACAACATGCTCCTAAATAATTCATGGATCAATAAAGAAATTAAGAAAGAAATTAAAAACTCTTTTGAAACACATGAAAATCAAACCATAACATACAAAAACCAATGGGACATAGCAAAAGTAATACCAAGAGGAAAATTTATAGCAATAAATGCCTAAATGAAAAGGTAGAAAAACTCCAAATAAGCAATCTAATGATGCATCTTAGTGAACTAGAAAAGCAAGAGCAAGCAAATCCAAAATAAGCAGAAAAAAAGAAATAATAAAGATCAGAGAAGAAATTAATGAAATTGAAATGAGAAAACAATAAAAAATATCAAAGGAACAAAAATTCGGTTTCTTTAAAAGATAAAATAAACAAACTTTTAGACAGCCTAATTAAGAAAAAAAAGACCCAAATAAACAAGATCAAAGATTAAAAAGGAGCTATTATGCAGGACACAATAGCTCATGCCTGTAATCCCAGCAGTTTGGGAAGCCAAGGCAAGCAGATCATCAGGAGTTCTGGACCAGCCCATCAACATGGTGAAACCTTTTCTCTACTAAAAAAAAAAAACAAAAATTAGCTGGGTGCAGTGACTCATGCCCAGTCCCAGCTACTTGGGGGACTGAGGCAAGAGGATCACTCAAGCCTGTGAGGACGAGGCTGCAGTAGCCGTGCTTGTGCCACTAAACTCCAGCCTGGGCAACAAAGTGAGACTCTGCCCCAGGGGAAAAAATACAAAAAAGAAAAAGTAGACATTATAAGTTATACTACAGAAATTCAAAGGATCATTAGACATTACTATGAGTAACTACACATCAATAAATTGGAAAACCTAGAAGAAATTGATAAATTTCTAAACACTCACAACCTACAAGACTGAACCATGAAGAAATTCAAAACCTGAACAGACCAATAGTAAGTAATGAGATCAAGGCCATGATAAAAACTCACCTAGGTAAGAAAAGCTTGAGACCAGATGGCTTCACTGCTGAATTTTACCAAACATTTAAAGAAAAACTAATACCAATCCTGCTCAAACTATTCTGAAAAATAAAGGAGGAGAGAACACTTTCAAACTCATTGTATGAAGCCAGTATTACCCTGATAACAAAAACCGATGACAAATTAAGAAAATTACAGGCCAATATCTCTGATGAACATTAATGCAAAAATCATCAATTAAATTCTAGCAAACTGGTTTAAATAACACATTAAAAAGATTATTTATCATGAGCAAGTGGGATTTATTCCTGGCATGCAAGGGTGGCTCAACATGAATAAATTGATCAATGTGATATATTATATCAACAGAATGAAGGACAAAGCCATATGATCATTTCAATGGATGTTCAAAAAGCACTTGACAAAATTCCACATCTTTTCATGATTAAAAACCTCAAAAAACTAGGTATAGAAGGAACATACTTTAACACAATAAAAGCCAAATGCAGTAGACCCACCACCAGTATCATCTTAAATGAGGGGAAACAGAAAGTCTTTCCTCTAAGATCTGAAACAAGAAAAGGATGCCTACTTTCACCACTGTTATTCAACATAGTACTAGAAGTTCTAGTTAGAGCAATCAGACAAGAGAAAGGGCATCCAAATTGGAAAGGAAGAAGTCAGATATATAAACTTACACTTGGAAAAACCCAAGATTCCATCAAAAAATGATTAGAACTGATAAACAAATTTAATAAAGTCACAGGATACAAAACTAACAGAAAATCAGTAACATTTCTATATGTCAACAGCAAAAAATCTGAAAAAAGATCAAGAAAGAAATTCCATTTACAGTAGCTGCAAATAGAATAAAATACCTAGAAATAAACTTAACTAAAGAAGTGAAAGATCTCTATAATGTACAAGTGAATGATTTCTGTAATGACATAAATCACTGGTGGAAGAAATTGAAGATGACACTAAAAAATGGAAAGATATTCCATGTTCATGGATTGGAATAACTGATATTGTTAAAATATCCATACCACCCAAAGCAATCTAGAGTCAATGTAATCCTTACCAAAATATCAATGACATTCTTCACAGAAATAAAAAAGATCCTAAAATTTGTGTGGAACCACAGAAGGCCAAGAATAACCAAAGCCATTCTGAGCAAAAGGAAAAACTGAGATTCACATTATTTGACTTCAAATTATACTACAGAGCCATAGTAACCAAAACAGCATGGTACTGGCATAAAAACAGACACATAGACCAATGGAACAGCATAGAGAACTCAGAAATAATTTTTTTTTTTTTTATTTTTGAGACGGAGTTTCACTCTTGTTACCCAGGCTGGAGTGCAATGGCGTGATCTCAGCTCACTGCAACCTCCGCCCCCTGGGTTCAGGCAATTCTCCTGCCTCAGCCTCCTGAGTAGCTGGGATTACAGGCACGCACCACCGTGCCCAGCTAATTTTTTGTAATTTTTAGTAGAGACGAGGTTTCACCATGTTGACCAGGATGGTCTCGATCTGTTGACCTCGTGATCCACCCGCATCGGCCTCCCAAAGTGAGAAATAAATTTTTATATCTACAGTAAATTCATTTTCAACAAACTTTCCAAGGCCATACATTGGGTACAGGACAGTTTCTTCAATAAATTGTGTTGGGAAAACTGGATATCCATGTGCAGAAGAATGAAGCTAACTCCTATCTCTTGCCATATACAAAAATAAAATTAAAATGGATTAAGGACTTAAATCTAAGGCCTCAAACTATGAAACTACTAAAATAAAGCATTGGGGAAACCTTGTTCTGGGCAAAGATTTATTGAGGAATAACCCACAAGCACAAGCAACCAAAGCAAAAATGGACAAATGGAATCACGTCAAGTTAAAAAGCTTCTTTATAGCAAAGAAAACAATCAACAAAGAGACAACACATTAAAATGGGGGAAAATATTTGCAAAATATCCACCTGATAAGAAAAAATAACTAGGATATATAAGGAACTCAAATAACTCAATAAGAAAAAAATTCAATAATCTGATTTAAAAATGGGCAAATCAGGCCAGCTGCAGTGGCTCATGCCTGTAATTGCAGCACTTAGGAGGCCAAGGTAGGAAGATCACTTGAGGTCAGGAGTTCTAGACTATCCTGGACAACATGGTGAAAACCTGTCTCTATCAAAAAACACAAAAGTTAGCTGGGCATGGTGATGCACATCTGTAATCCCAGCTACTCAGGAGGTTGAGGCACAAGAATTGCTTGAACCCAGGAGGCAGAAGTTTCAGTGAGTTGCGATCATGCCACAGCACTCCAGCCTGGGTGACAGAGTGAGACGCTGCCAAAAAAAATGAAGGAAGGAAGGAAGGAAGGAAGGAAGGAAGGAAGGAAGGAAGGAAGGAAGGAAGGAGGGAGGGAGGGAGGGAGGGAGGGAGGGAGGGAGGGAGGGAGGGAGGGAGGGAAGGAAGGAAGGAAGGAAGGAAGGAAGGAAGGAAGGAAGGAAGGAAGGAAAAAAAAAAAAAAAAAAGGCAAATGACCTGAATAAACTTTTCTCAAAAAGAGACATACAAATGTCAAACAAGTATATGAAAATATGCTAAACTTCATTCACTTCAGAAAACTGCAAATCAAAACTGTAATGAATATCTCACTCCAGTTAAAATGGCTTTTATCCAAAAGATAGACAATAACAAATGCCGGTAAGGATGTAGAGAAATGGGAACCCTTGTACACTGTAGTTGAGAATGTAAATTGGTATAACCACTATAGAGAACAGTTTTAGAGGTTCCTCAAAAAACTAGAAATAGAACTATGGAACTACCATATGATCCAGCAATCCCATTGCTAAGTATATACCGCAAAGAAAGGAAATCTGTATATCAAAGAGATATTTGCACCACCATATTTATTGTAGCATTATTCACAATAGCCAAAATTTGGAAACAACCCAAGTGCCCATCAACAGCAGAATGGCTGCAGAAAATGTGATATGTATACACAATGGAGTACCATTCACCCATAAAAAAGAATGTGAGTCTGTCATTTGCAACAACGTGGCTGGAACTGGAGGACATTATGTTAAGTGAAATAAGTGAGGTACAGAAAGACAAACATCACATGTTCTCATTTGTTGGAGTTAAAAATTAGAACAATTGAACTCATCAAAATAGAGAGTAGAATGATGATTACCAGAGGCTAAGAGTAGTACAGAGGAGGTGGAAATGAGGATGGTTAATGAGTATAAAAACACAGATAGAATAAGTAAGACTTAGTATTTGATGGCACAACAGGTGAGTACAGTCAACAATAGTTTATTCTACATTTAAAAGTAACTAAAATAATATAATTAGAATTTTGTAACACAAAGAAAGGGTAAGTGCCTGAAGTGATAGATAGTCCATTTACCCTGACATGATTGTTAGACAATGCATGCCTGTATCAAAATATCACACGTGTCCCATAAGTATATATACCTACTAAATACCATAAAATTAAAAATTAAAAAAATAAAAGGACACAAATCTATTTTATACTGTATCTCAATTTTGTTCACGTATATATGTCCAATAAAGGGTAAAAGGAGCAATAACAGTGGTTCTTACAGGTTTTTTTTTCCATTACTGTGTTTTCCAAATTTTCTTAGTAAATGATTTTTATAGTCAAGGAAAAAGCAAAGAAATATCAAAATAAACAATGCTACATAAACAAGAAAGCCCTAGTTTTCATTAAAATTGAAGAGCCCCAATATCCAAACCAGTAGCATCCTATGATTACCACATCCATTGTTTAGTTCTGGAAGAAAACATGTTCAAGAGATGAGTCAGGTGTATATATTCTATTACCGCTTTGCATTTCAGCCCCTAATTCTTCTCCTACTGCAGTCAGTCCCACTTTTACTCAACTTTCAAGGTTAAGTAGTAAGTTGGTAACCTACAAATCATTTTTCCAGACTAGCACATTGAGATAGAAGAGTGCAAATCTTAACAGCAAAAAATGGGAATTGTCCATCAGTAAAAGACTGGTTAAATAAATGATAGATTATTATTGACATTAAAAATAATATTGCATACTCATATGTACTGATATAAAATGATCTCTAAGTCATAATTTCAAGGGAAAAAAATTCATAAAAGAATTTAAGCTAACAAAACTCTAGCTAGTCATCTCTCTCTATATATAAATATATATACATATACATATATGGGTGTTGCAGAGCATACACTTGAATGCACAGAATATTTTGAAAGGATATTTCTCAAATAGTTACAAGCTTCTGAGGGTAGGAGCAAGATTTTGATGTGCATGTGTGTGTGTGTTAAAAGAAGACTTGAACATTTTACTACACTTCTGAATTTTAAAAATCATCTACAATGAAATTGTATTGTTTCACTTATATAATTAAATACTTTTAAAAGTATTTTTAAGCAAAAAGGAAATGTATTTGAAAAACAGAAATGCCTCACAAGCTCATAGAAAATTAGAAAATGAAAAGAGTTAAAAAGAAAAGGGGTACGGAAATGAGAAGCCACGTATAAAAAGAGACAGTACTCATTCATTTAAAAAGTTACTTACTGAGTGCCTTTATTTATTAAGGCAGTTGGAATATGTGAAGATAAATCAACCTACCTTGTCCTTCTAACCTGAGTGACTTCTTTCTTTTAGATTACATGATTTGCTTATCTACCTCTTTGGTGTCTTGCATTGTCCTTTGCCCCGTACCCTTTTCCTTTTTATGGTCATGTTTTGCTGCCAGAAATTTTCAATATAATTTGCAGCTAAACCTAAATTTCTCCATGTGGACTAGGCTACATTAACTGTACTCAGTCCTAGACTATGGCTACTGAAGAGATTTGTGAATTGCTAATATGTTAGATTGTTTCTGCCTTTTCCCTTTGCTCTGCCGAATGCAGGGGACAGCCACCTAACGAAGAAAGGGTGCCATTTATGTGCTTTTCCCTGTGTCTCTATTCCTTCTTCTGAATTCCGAGCTTGTCCCTGGGTACATAGCAATTTCTCTCAGTGAAGGGAGTTGTAAAAGTCCCTTGATCTTTTTCTTCCTCTTCTTTTTTGTTTTTTTGAGATGGAGTCTCACCCTGTTGCCCAAACTGGAGTGCAGTGGTGTGACCCTACCTCACTGCCGCCTTGAACTCCTGGGCTCAATTGATTAACCTCTTTCAACTTCCTCAGTAGCTGTAACTATAGGCATGTGCCACAATGTCCAGTGGCCCCTGGGTCTATTGGACTGGAAAATAGCAGTTTCCAGATCGAGTCCAGCCTTTAAGGATTATTTGTTTTCCACTCTTAAATCCTCACCCAAGCTTTGGCTGCTCAGGACTTTACTAGCTAATAATTCAATGACCGCTTCCCCATGGCAACCCAAAAGTAGCCAAGTCAACTCTTCAAAGTTTCTGCCATTGTCACACATCTGGCCAAGGAGAGTTGTGACATCGACAGGGTTTTTGGCATTCGCCTCCTCCTCGTCATCCTCTTTTTAGCATACTCTCCTTAGCTCCCAGGGAGCCTGTGGTCTTTCAGAAGGTTGGCAATAGCTATTGCTTGTTTGGTTTGCCTATTATATTTTCTCATACTTCTTCAGGTAACATCGCTCCTGCTTTTTGTGTAACTGTTCCATTTCTCTTGTTATTCTGGTGGGACTTCCCTCCCTTCATATGCAGCAAAGGTCATGTGACCCAAGCAGGGCAATCAGTCTCATTTGAAATTTGTGTATGGCCACATTAAAAAGAAGTGCTCTTTGTGTATGGGCCCAAGGCTAGGAGTCCCCTAAGCCATTTTCTCACCATGTAAGACAGCCCCTGTGTGAAATGAAACCAAGAAGGAACAAACAGAAATGGGTGATGAGGGGAGGGAGAACAAACGCTAGTTTGTTCCCTCTCTGTAGGCCCTGATGTGTGGTTCTTGCAGCTTTCCTTTCAGTCATATGTTTCTCCAATATCCTTCGCAGATAACAGAGCCAATACATTTCCATTCCACTCTTAAACTGGTTTGAATTAGGTGCCTGTCTCTTGAGACCTAAGAGCCCTGGTTAATATAGCCAACTCCTACTGAGCTACCCCATCATTGCCTGGCCTCTCTGCAGAGTTCAATTTTCAGCTGAGTCTATATCACTCTCTTCCAGTCCGTCCATGATTGGCCCTATCTCTTCTGCTGCCCTTTCTCAGGCTCTACTCACCCCTTTTCAAAGTTGGTGGTTGGTTGGCAGGGTCTAAGAGAATGGCAGCTGGTATAAGTTTCCTTCTAGGGAGGAATATATAATTGTTGAGAGGACAAGCTTTCAGGATCTGGATAAAGGAGAACTTTTGCAGGTAACAGGGAGAAAGTATATCTGTTGCTCAGGCAGAAGAGGTAGGGAGAACGGTTGGTGGCGGTGTTAAGGAGTGGCCTGAGAAATAATAGAAAATTGTTCAATTCATGATGGGGCCTCTGCTGCAGCTACTGAATTCACGAAATGTTTGTGAATGAATGACATTTGTGTGGAAACTGTGAATAGGCATTTCGTAATCCGGAAGCACATGTGGGTGGATGGCAGTAGAGAGAATGAACTCAGGGAATCTGTGGAAATATTTGGTAATACTTGCATATGCATGCAGATTTAAGATTCAAAACAATTTAACCACATAACTATTTGTCAGCAAAGTGTGAGAAACCCCTGACAACTTACTTTAAAGAAAACAAACAAAACAAAACAAAACAAAACACGAACAACAAAAGAAAACCTTGTTAAGTTTTACTTCAACAATCTCGTAAAAGGCTGTGCCTTGGTATTAGTCTGAATTTGTTCCTGGGGCAAGTTCTCTAAAACAGTAACTGTATCTGTTGATAAATGGAAGCAGGCTATTAGGACTAATTTTGTCAGCAAAGAAAACCATATGATGAATACACCCTTAATGGCATCTGGAAAGCTAAGGCAAGAGAAGCCATTTGATTCTCTCCGGAGTGGCACATTGCCAGGAAATTCACTAAGAGGAAAGATAGGTTAATATGTTTCATGCTGCTGAATTGGTGGGCACCAGTATCTGCTGTCTCTTAAGCTTCTGTCATGTGAAGAAAAACCAAGAAAGGGCTAAGATAGAGGTTCATGAAAAGGGGCACTTTATCCCAGCCTAGCTACTGCTGACTAAGGGGAAAGAGTGAGGTCCAGGTAATCTCCACTGCTCTATAAAATCTAGGTCTTTACTCTATAAAACAAATAAACAAAAACTCCACAATGCTGAGTGATGAAAAGACAAGACCCTAGAAACTGGGTCAAGTAAGTGAGAACAAAGGGTTAAGTTCTTCTCTTTGGAATGTGAGGAGAAAAGAGTACCAGAGCAAAATAATTTGGGATCATAAAAATGTAGTGAGAATGAATGAAGAAAAGGCCAAATTTTGGTTTCTATCCTTAAACCTTTTTAAGGTTGAAAACTTAGTATAGTTTAGTAACACTTGATAGCTATTTTTATATTCAGGTCTGTCTTTATTTTATTTACTCCAAAACTTCCAATTCAAGCAAACCACATCCATAGCAAAAGATTCCTTTTTCTCCAGGAGCTTGACCAAACCATGACTGTTTTCCTGGCGTGACGGAACCTTCAGTTTAAGCAACATAGCTTAAGAGGAAGTAATCTTTCTGACATTAAATTAGCAACCTAAAAATACAGCAATGATGGTATGCTGTACTCCCACTAGCAGACAACTTTGCTCTTTTCCTGTTTTTCTAACAACTCATTTTTTTTTTTTAAAGACAGTGTCTCACTGTCATACTGTTACCCAGGCTGGAGTACAGTGGTGCAATCATTGCTTGAATTCTTGTGTTTCAATGATCCTCCTGCCTAAGCCTCCAGTGTAGCAGGGACTACAGGCTCACACCATCATGCCCAGCTAATTAAAAAAAAGATGTTTTTTCAAGAGATGGGGTCTTGCTGTGTTGCCCCAGCTGGTCTTGAGCTCTTGGCATGAAGCAATCTTCCTGCTTCCACCTTCGAAAGTGATGGTGATACAGACAAGAGACCAAGAAATACTGGATAGAAGAGGGTAGTTCCCTGGCAAAGGCCCAACCCTCAAGCCTGGATACCCACGGTTCTAAATGACAACAGCCATTTCTGTTTTTGTGCCCAAAAAGTTGCCTTTTGACCTGCCATGCCCTCTAACCTGCATCCATATAAACCTCAGGCTCCAGAAGCAGACCAACAAGCCAGCAGATCAGCAGATGGATGGAGGAATGACACGGCAGAGAAAGGAAGACGAGGAGGAACATCTGAATGCCAAGAGGAATTAGGCTGGGAGTGGTCAGAAAGGGGGAGATCCCCTTCCCACTCCGTCCCCTGCTTCTGGCTCCCTATTTATCCTGCTGAAAGTCACCTCCACCTCCACAACTCAATAAAACCTTGCATTCATCCTTAGGGTTTGTATGTGACCCAGTTTTTCCGGGAGGCTGGACAAGAGCTCGGGATACTGAAAGCTGTCACACTGGCCCTTTGCCCTTGCGAAAAGGCAGAGGGTTCATTGAGCTGATTAACACTCAAGCCATCTGTGGAGGGCAAAAAGGAAAGAGCTTTGTAATGCTGGGTTGCAGGCAACCACCTCTAGACATTACTGTGGGGCTGGAGCCCAAAGCACTCTTCCGGCCTCTACACCTGCCAATCTACATGCTTCCCCTTTTGCAAGAGGTTTGAGCAGCAGAGCAACTGAACAGGCAAGCTACATTCCTGTCACACATCCTGTGAGGGAATCAGGGACCTGTCTGGTTTCAAAGGAATTGCAGACATGAGCCACTGTGTCTGACCCATTTTTCTTAAATTTAGAAATTTAAGAAAATTTCTAGAGGAAGCTGGAATCTAGAGGAACCACAGTAACTTTGATTTCTAGCTGTGAGGAAGAACATGCCTGCTTCCCAAGTGACCATCCTCCCAGCACTATGGTGTATATGAGACCAGGGGCTCCAGAGATTGTGGAGACAGCATTTGCTGAGTGTCAGTGTCTGGGTTGACAGCTGGCCACTTCCTGCGAATGTGTTCTAGCCTCTGCCATCTCCTGCGTGGCCAACAGAAATGAATAGGGTCTGCTCCAGAGATCAATTTCTTTTCAATTTAGCAAGGGGAGGCAGACAGGTTTACTGGCAAGTGAATGTGTGAGTTTTAGGTAGTAAAATATCATAAATAAAGGCACAGAGGGGAGTAGAAAAGGCATGGATGGACTTTGGGCATTAGATGGCCCTGATCTTAAATCTTGCCTTCACTTAATAGCATAGTTATATATAATTTGTTAAAAGAAGACACAAAATTCTCTGAATGAAAGTCCTAAAAAATTATTCTGTTAATTTTTAGAGTCTTGCAGCTCTTCCCCTGCACCCCTATTCATTGCAATCATTTTCCTCTGTGAAGCATTTTTGCATTTACTGTCTACACAAACCATCTGGCTATCAGTAGATGCTGTTACATGCTCTTGATACATTTATCATATTTAGTATTTTTTCTTTTTCCATGATTAGAAAATAAGCTAAGTAAGAGCAGTAAGAGGAGACTATGTCTTATACCTCTTTGTATCCTCTTCAGCAAGAAAACGTCCTTCACTGTTGGGACTCTATTGACTATTCCTGGATATTTACCATCTCTGGACCTCAACACTAAACACCAGTAATACCTGCCAGTCATGGTAACCAGTTCTCACCCCTCAAATACCCTTGCAAATTTCCAAAGGTCCTCAGAAGAGTGGTACAATCTTTGGTTGAAGACCACTAGAGTGTCCAGTATGTAGTAAATATATATTTGCTCAGCATACATGGTTGTGTTGTTAGTTGCAGCTGGAAAATTTCTGCCTAAAGTTTATTACTTACTTTTTTAACAAAAACGCTCAAGAAATTGGTTCATTTGGTGCCTTTTCAATTCTGATTCACCTATTAATTTTTGTGGGTGAAAAAATCTATATGTCTTTGTTACAGGTTGCTTTCCCTGTGATCTGGGAAGATATTAGTGTGCAGGAAGTTTATTAGGGAGTGCTTTTGGGGATCAACAAGTATGGAAGGGAAAAAGGAAGTAAGATTAAGCAGAAGAAGTTGGACTGTAATGCAGTTTCAACTAAAGCCTAAACTAAGCCTAGAAGTAGCTCCGAAGCTGATGGCCCTTCAGAGTTGCACCAAGCTAGAACAAGGGACCAGATGTTACTGTTCCCCATCAATCAGTGTGACTGGGTGTAGACTATTTTAGAAATAGGGCATGAACTGGCATAAAGCAACTCTCTTCAGCAGAAGGCAGGTATGTAAAAGAGCTGGAAGATGAGGGGTCTCTGTGGGCAATGCTCCCAACAGCTGGTGGGGTAAGTAAGTTCATCAGTCTTGAAGGGGTATATTGGAGGGTGCATCCTGACAGCATGCACTACAGTATGTATCAGATTATCTGTACACAAAGGAGACCTCAAATCACTACGGTTTTAAAAAGTTAAAAATGAATTACTCTTTTACATAAAATAAGCCAAAAGAGAGTTAGCTCCAAATAATATTAGGGTTTTGTTACTAAGAAAAAAAAACCCAGGAGAATATATGCTATGGTCTGAATGTTTGTTCCTGCTTCATATTCATGTGTTGGAATTCTAACCCCCAAGGTGGTGGCATAGGAGGTGGGGACTTTGCAAAGTGGTTAGGTCATAAGGATGGAGCACTCATGAATGGGATTAATGCCCTTATCAAAGAGACCCTAGAAAGCTAGCTCTGTAATAGTCTCTTCTGCCGTGTGGGGTTTCAGTGAAACATTTTTGTCTATGAAGGAAGCAGGCCGTCATCAGAACCCAACTGTGCTGGCAAACTGATCTTATTTGGTTTGTGGTTCTACAGGCTGTTGGTTCATGGCACAAGCAACTACTTGGCTTCTAGTGAAGCCCAGGAAACTTTTACTCTTGACAGAAGGTGAAGAGGGAGCAGGTGTGTCACGTGGTGATAACAAGAGCAAGAGAGAGAAGAGGAGGTGCCAGCTCCTTTAAACAATCGGAGCTTCTGTGAACTCATTACTGCACTCAGAGGACCAAGGCGTTCAACTGGGATCTGCTTCCATGACCGAAACACCTCCAATTAGGCTCCACCTGTAACAATGGAAATCACATTTCTACATGAAACTTGGGGGGGACAAACATCCAAACTATACCATTTGCCCCTGTGCCCCCCTCAAATCTTATGTCTTTCTCACATTGCAAAACACAATTCTCCCTTTCCAATAGTTCAAAAGTTCTTAATAAATTTCAGCATCAACTCAAAGTCCAAAGTCCAAAGTTTCATCTGAGACTCAAGGCAAGTTTCTTTGACTTATGAGCCTATAAAATCAACAATAAGTTACTTACATTTAAGATTCAGTAGTGGCACAGGCATTGGGTAAACATTTCTGATCCAAAAGGAAGAAACTGGCCAAAAGAAAGGGGCAACAGATGTCTGAAACCCAGCAGGGCAGGCATTAAATTTTAAAGCTCTAGAATAATCCTTGATTCCATATCCCACATCCTGGGCACAATGGTGCAAGGGGTGGGCTCTCAAGGCCTTGTGGCTTTGCAGGATGCAGCCCCCATGACTGTTCTCACTGTCGAAGTTCAATGCTTTCAGCTTTTCCAGGCTCAGGGCAAACACTGCTGGTGACTCTACCATTCTGAAGTCTGGAGGGTTGTGGCCCCATTCCCACAGCTCCATTAGGCAGTGCCCCAGTGGGCACTCTGTGTGTGGGCTCCAACCCCACAGTTTCCCTCAGCACTGTCCTAGCAGAGTCTCTCTGTGGGGACTCTTCCCTGTGGTAGTCTTCTCTGCCCACCACAGAGGGCACCCAGACTTTCCCATACATTCTCTGAAATCTAGACAGAAGCTGTCATGCCTCCTTCACCCTTTTATTCTGTATACCTGCAGAAGTATTCCACATGGACCTGCCAAGACTAACAGTTTGTGCTCTTCTGAGCTGCAGCCCGAGTTTCACCTTGGGCCATTTGAGCTGTTGTATCTGGAACAGCTGGAATATAGGGATAAATGTTGTGAGGCTGAGCGGGGCAGCAAGCCTGAGGCCTGGCCTCTGTAACCATTCTTTCCTCTTAGGCCTCTGGGCCTGTGATGCGAAGGGCTACCTTGAAGATTTCTAAAATGCCTTTTTCCCATTGTCTTGACAGTAAACACTTGGCTCCCATTTAGTCATGCAAATCTCTCTAGTAAGTGGTTGCTGCACAGTGCTCTTGAATTCCTCTCCTAAAAATCTTTCCTTCTCTACAACATGACCAGGTTGCAATTTTTCCAAACTTTACACTACGCTTCTTTTTAAATAATAAGTTCCAACTTTAAGACATTCTTTTGCTCCCACATCTGATCATAGATGCAGCCATGCCAAGTCTTAAACATTTTGCTGTTTAGAAATTTCTTTCACCAGATACTTTAGGTCATCACTCTTAAGCTTAGCCTTCCACAGATCCCTAGGGATTTATAATGCAGCCAAATTCTTTGCTAAGGCATAACAAGGGTGACTTTTGCTTTAATTCCCAATAAGTCCCTACTTTCCATCTGAGATGTCCTCAGCCTGAGCTTCACTGTCCATATTTCTATCAGCATTTTGCTCACAACCACTTAACATGTCTCTAAGAAGTTCCAAACTTTCCCGTTTTCTTCTGAACCCTCCAAACTCTTTTAACCTATGCCCATTACCCAGTTCCAAAGCTGCTCCCACTTTTCCAGATATCTTTATAGCAATATTCTACTCCTTAGTACCAATTTTATGTGTTAATCTATATGTGCTACTATAAAGAAAATGCCTGAGGCTGGGTAATTTATAAAGAAAAGAGGTTTATTTGGCTTATGGTTCTGAAGGCTATATAAGCATGGCAGCGGCATTTGCTCAGCTTTTGGTGACACTCATGTAGCTTTTACTCATGGAAGAAAGCAAATGGGGAGTAGGTGTGTTACATGGCAAGAGCGAGACCAAGAGCCATTTGTATGTCTTCTTTTAGTCAGGTTATTTCTTTTCTTATTATTGATTTGAGTTCACTATATATTTTGGATATTAATCCTTTATAAGATCTAGGGTTGCAAATATTTCCTCTTATTCTGTAGATTATCTCTTCACTCTGTTGAATATTTCCTTGGCTGTGCAAGAATACAATTCTTGTTTTTAGTTAGACATAATCTTATGTGTCTATTTTTGCTTTGCAATTAATTTTTGAATTGTATTCATTTTGCTTGATAGCTTACAATTTTAACAAATGATGTAACCACAACTATTTTGCTCATGCCTGAACCTCCAGCATCTAGTTCAAGTCCTGGAATGTAGTAGGAATTCAGTTAATGTTATTGGAAATAACTAATACAGAGTAGCTTCCATCTGCATTAGTCATTTATTAAAAAAATCTAACAATACTAATAGTTAATATTTGTCAACTGTTAATATGGGCTTGGTGTCACAACTGTCATCTCTTAATCCACACAACAATTTTATGAGGTAGCTACTGTTGTTATCCTATTTTAGACTGAGGAAACTAAAGCTCAGAAAGATTAGTAACTTTCCTTTTATGATGATTCAGCTAATAACTTTTATTGCTTTTTCTAGCTTGGTGAAAGCTTCACTATAATGTTGAGTAAAGGTGATGAGAGTGGACATGAACCTTCACTATAATGTTGAGTAAAGGTGATGAGAGTGGACATCCTTATCTTATTCTTGATCTTTGGTGGGAAGCATTCAAACTTTCAGTGTTATGTAAAGTATTGGCAGTAGGTTCTATTTCTAGTTTGCCAACAGTTTTTGTCATGGTGTTGAATTTATTAAATGTTTTTCTACATCTCTTGGTGTGATTATGCAGTTTTTCTTTTTTAAAAAGTATCACTGAAACTGGGAAATTAATTTTTAATACCACTTTTCAATAACACCAAAATCCATGAAATAGTTATGAATGAATTTTGTTTAAATATATGTTGAAGACCTCTACCCTAAAAACGGCAGAACATTTCAGAGAGATATTTAAGATCTAAATGCATAGAGAGATATAGCATGCTTATATATAAGAAGTTTAAATATTAAGATACTGAAATGGGTTTATAGATTCAATGCAGTCCTAATAAAAATCCAAGCAGAGTTGACAAGTTGATTATAAAATTTTGCAGATGGACCAGCCTGGGCAACATGATGTAAGCGTGTCTCTACAAAAACTTAAAAAAAAAAAAAAGACCAGGTTCAGTGGTGTGCACCTGTAGTTCCAGCTACTTAAGAGGGGGTGAGATGGAAGGATGGCTTGATCCTGGGAAGTGGAGGTTGCAGTGAGCTGACCTCACACTATGGCACTCTAGCCTGGGCAACAGAGCCAGTCCCTATCTCAAATAAATAAAATAAACATAAATAAATAAAAGAAAGAAAAAATAAAATTTTGCAATACTTTAAAGGACCAAATCCAAAATCAGAGTTAAGACCCCAAGCTCTGTGCAATTGCTTGATTTTGGAATACTCAATTCCTCAGGGAGAAGGAGAATCATACCTTCCAGTGACCACAAGTATACTTGAACCTGACTTGACTCTCCATTTTTCATTGGTAGTCCCAGACTTGTTCTTATTGGCATCATAAAAAAACAGAGAGCTCCATGGTGCTTTCAAAGCCCTGTTGCAAAACAAACCTCAAACACTCATCCAAACAAGGTTCAGCATTATGGACCGAGAGAATAATATACATGTGGGTCCATGGTCTGGGCATGGCCTCCAGGGCCATGGCCTCAGGAAACACCACATAGTTTTTCTTTACTAGTCTGTTAATGTGTTAAATCACAGTCATTGCTTTTCAATATTAAGCTAACCTTACATTCCTGGAATAAATTCCATTTGGTGATAGTGTATTACTCTTTTTTTGTACTGTTGGATTTGATATGGTAAGACTGGTTAAGGATTTTTGCATCTTGTTTATAAGAAATGTTGTTCTGTAGTTTTTATATACATAATATCTGTATCATACTTTGTTATCAGAAAATTGCTGGCCACATAGAATAAGTTGGGAAGTATTGCCTGCCTTTTATTTCTTGAAAGTTTGTGTAGAATTAGCATAATGTCTTCCTTAAATATTTGGTAGGGTTCACAAGTAAAGCCATCTAAACCTGAAGATTTCTTTTAGAAAAGTTTTTAAGTGCTAATACAATTTCTTTTTTTGCAAATTGACATATTATAGTTGTATGTATTTATGATGTACAAAGTGATGTTATGTCAATAATATAATGTGAAATAATTAAATCAAGCTATTAACATATTCATTACCTCAAACACTCTTTGTTTTTGTGGTAAAAATATCTATAATTTCTTTAATAAGGGGCTATTTAGGTTATCTATTTCCTCTTGAGTGAGCTTTGGTAGTTTGTATCTCTCAGAGAATTTTCCCATTTAATCAAAGCTGTGAAATTCATTGCCATAAAAGCTGCATGTAGGATTCCCTTTCTTATCCTTTTAAAATCTGTAGGGTCTATAGTTATGTTCCCTCTCATTTTCTCTTTTTTTGAGATAGAATCTCACTCACTTGTCCAGGCTAGAGTGCTCATTGCAATCTTTGCCTTCCCATTGAAGTGATTGTCCCATCTCAGCTTCCTTAAGAGCTGGACTACTGACACATGCCACCATGACCCGGCTAATTTTTGTATTTTTTTCTTTCTTTTTTAGAAATAGTGTTTCACCATATTGCCCAAGCTGGTCTCAAACTCCTGAGCTCAAGCAATCTGCCCATCTCAGACTCCCAAAGCTCTGGGATTACAGGTGTGAACCCAGGCTCCTCTCACTTTCTTAATATTAATAATTCATATCTTTTTTCTTATTCCTGACCACTCAAGCTTAAAATTTATCAATTTTGTTGAACTTCCCAAAGAGCTACCTTTTTGTCTCATTGATTTTCTCTACTGTTCTGTTTTTTATTTCATTGATTTTAGTCTTATCTTCATATTTCTTTTTCTGCTTATTTGCAGGGAGGTCATTTGCCCTTTTTTATCTTGTCTCTTAAGTGGAAGCTTAGATAATTTAAGCTCTTTCTTCTTTTCTAATATAGGACTTTAATACTAATTTTTTTTCTCTAAACATTACTTTAGGTATATCTCACAATTGTTGATCAGTTGTGTTTTCTTTTAGATTCATTTAAAAATAAACAAAAGAAATAGTCACTAGAGTGAATCGGCAACCAACAGAATGGGAAAAAATTTTTGCAGTTTACCCATCTGACAAAGGGCTGATATCCAGAATTTACAAAGAACTCAAACAGATTTACAAGAAAAAAACAAACAAGCCCATTCAAAAATGGGCAAAGGATATGAACAGACACTTTACAAAAGAAGACATACACGAGGCCAACAAACATGACAAAATGCTCATCATCACTGGTCATCAGAGAAATGCAAATCAAAACTACATTGAGATACCATCTCACGCCAGTTAGAATGGTGATCATTAAAAAATCTGGAGACAACAGATGCTGGTGAGGATGTGGAGAAATAGGAACACTTTTACACTGTTGGTGGGAGTGTAAATTAGTCCAACCATTGTAGAAGACAGTGTGGCGATTCCTCAAGGCCTTAGAAATAGAAATCCCATTTGACCCAGCAATCCCATTACTGGGTATATATCCAAAGGACTATAAATCGTTCTACTATAAGGACACATGCACACGAATGTTCATTGCAGCACTGTTTACAATAGCAAAGACCTGGAACCAACCCAAATGTCCATCGATGATAGACTGGACTGGGAAAATGTGGCACATATACACCATGGAATATTATGCAGCAATCAAAAATGATGAGTTTGTGTCCTTTGTAGGGACATGGATGAATCTGGAGAACATCATTCTCAGCAAACTGACACAAGAATGGAAAATGAAATACCGCATATTCTCACTCATAGGTGGGTGATGAACAATGAGAACACATGGACACAGGGAGGGGAGCACTACACACTGGGGTCTATTGGGGGGAATAGGGGAGGGACAGCGGTGTGGGGGAGCTGGGGAGGGATAGCATGGGGAGAAATGCCAGATGTGGGTGAAGGGGAGGAAGACAGCAAATCACACTGCCTCGTGTGTACCTATGCAACTATCTTGCATGTTCTGCACATGTATCCCAAAACCTAAAATGCAAAAAAAAAAAAAAAATATATATATATATATATATATATATATATATATATATATATGCTAATATCCACTGTGACTTACTTTTTGGTCAATTATTTGATTAGTTAGATGTGTGTTTTCAATTTTCAAATATTTGAGAAATTTACAGATATTATTCTGTCACTAATTTATAATTTAATTTTATAATGGTCAAAGAACATTAATGTGGTTTGGATCTGTGTCCCTATCCAAATCTCATGTTGAATCCCCAGTGTCAGAGGTGGGCCCTGGTGGAAAGTGACTGGATCATGGGGACAGTTTCTCATCGTTTTACACCATCCTCTTTGGTGTTAGCAAGAGTGAGTTATCACAAGATGTGGTTGTTTAAAAGTCTGTAGCATATCCTTTCCCTGACCCTTTCTTCTGCTTCAGCTGTGTGAAGTGTCAGCTTTCCCTTTGCCTTCCACCATAACTGACTGAAGCTGAGCAGACACTGCCATACTTCCTGTACAACCTGCAGAACTGTGAGCCAATTAAACCTCTTCTCTTTATAAACCTCTTTTCATATAGAAATGCAAGAATGGGTGAATACAAACATACTTTGTATAATTTCAATCCTTTTACATTTGTGGAGATTTATCTTATAACCCATAATGTAGTCTCTCTTGGTAAACATTCCATGTGTATGTGAAAAGAATGTGTATTCTGCGTTCTTGGATGTCAGTTGGTCAATTCTGTTGATTGTGTTATTCAAGTCTTCTATATCTTTACTGGTATCCTTTCTATCCATCCTATCAGTTATTGAAATCTCCAACAATAATCTTTGATTTATTTATTTCTCCTTACTGTTGCTTCCACTGTTTTATATGTTACTAGATGCATACATATTTTAGATTGTTATGTCTTCTCAATAAACTGAAGACTTCATTTTTATGAAATGAACTTTATACTTAGTAATATTTTTTGCACTGAAACATTTTTTTCTGATATTAATAGAGTCTATTTAGCTTTCTTTTGATTAATGTGTACATGAAACATCTTTTTCTATTTTCTTGGAACCTATGTCTTTATTTATATTTTTATTTTTTAAGACAGGATTTCACTCCTGTCACCCAGGCTGGAGTACAATGGAGCGATCTCAGCTCATTGCAACCTCTGCCTTCCAGGCTCAAGTGATCTCCTGCCTTAGCCTCCATAGTAGCTGGGACTACAGGCATATGCTACCGTGCCTTGCCAACTTTTGTATTTTTTGTAGAGATGGGGTTTCGCCATGTTGTCCAGGCTTGACTCAAACTCCTGAGCTCAAGTGATCTGTCCACCTCGGCCTCCCAAAGTGCTAACATTATGGGTGTGAGCCACCATGCTGGACCCCTGTGTCTTTATATTTTAATGCTTCTTGTAGACAATATGTAGTTATATCTTGATTTTAAAAGATGAAACTTGATTTTCTCTGTTTCTTATTTGAAGTTGGAGCATTTCATTTAATATGACTATTGATACTGGGGGGGGTTATATTCATCAGAGGGCTATTAGTTTTTTTATTTGTCCTGTCTACTTTTTGTCACATTTAGTTATCTCATTTTTTAACCTTATGTTGGATTAATTTAATATTTTTAAGCATTCCATTTTATTCCCACTTTTGGCTTATTAAGTCTACTCATTTTAGTTATTGGTTTAAGATTGACAACAAACATTTTTGATATCTTCAAATGATATTACACTAGTCAAGTGTAGCATAAGAATCTTATAAGAGTATATGTTCATTTTCCTGTTATGCTTTTGGTGCTACTTTTGTCATGTAACTTACCTCTACATATATTTTGAACTACATTTTGATTATAAAATTTATAATATACATTCTTATTATATAATTTGTAATATTTACAGTAAATGTTAGCTACATAGTTTATAGATTGTGGATTCTTATACATTTATAAGGTAATTATTATTTATAACTGTTATATACAATTTACCTCTATGTATATTGTAAGCTATGTATTATTACTTTGTTTTAAGCAGTCTCTTTTTAAGAGATTAAAAATGAGAAAAAAGTATATTTATTCACATATTTATCACCTATGATGCTCCTCATTTCATTGTTTCAATACAGATTTTCTTCTGGAGTTATTTTTCTGTTGTCTGAAGCAATTCTATTAATTTTTTTGTATTTTTTTTAGTGATGAGTTCTTTAAGCTTTTGTATGTGGGAAAGTTTTTATTTCTTCTTAATTTTTAAAAGATTGTTGTGATTAAGTATAGAATTCTAGATTCACAGGGTCTTTTCTCTTGGTGTACTTTAAAGATTGTTTTCCATCAGAATCATGAGCAGCAGGCCTTTTGACTGGAGAGAGTTGGTAAAGCCAACTACCTCCTAGTAACAGATCAAGTTGGCAGATAAATATCCCAACTATTTTTCTCCTCAAGTGGGACAATCCTGAGGCGTGGCCTACAGTATTTCCCAAAAGTCTCTAGTAGGAACGAACTCCAGTTGCCCACATCAATAACTGAACTGTCCTGAGTTTGCTTCCTTCTTCTCCCTATCTTATTGCCTCACTTTCTCTGGACCTTCCTGGGGTCACTTCCCCAATAACCGACTTGCACTTAAATCCTCTTTCAGGGTCTGCTTGTTGGAGAAATCATTCAAAAACATTACTACGGAAAAAATTGTGATGGGGTTGGATATGCAGATGACACAAACTTTGGAAACAACGCAATGGTCAAAGGTGATTTGTAACATTTAATTAACCTGATAATAGAAAGATAAACAGATGCTATTATTATGTGTACTAAATGTTCTCTGCTGGCATATATTAACTGTCATCATACAGTAAGCTTAGGTTACGTTGATTTGACTAAAAGATAATTTATTGAGTGAATACCACCCTTTTGCATTGTACTCTCTGCCACTGTCATACTATTGTCAAGAAATTTCTTGTGATTTTTGTACATTGATTTTGTATCTTGAGACTTTGCCGAAGTTGCTTATCAGTTTCAGGAGATTTTGGGCTGAGATGATGGGGTCTTTTAGATATACAATCATGTCATCTGCAAATAGAGACAATTTGACTTTCTCCTTTCCCATTCGTATACCCTTTATTTCTTTTTCTTGCCTGATTGCTCTGGCTAGAACTTCCAGTACTAGATTGAATAAGAGTGGTGAGAGAGAGCATCCCAGTCTAGTGTCAGATTTCAAAGAGAATGATTCCAGTTTTTGCTCATTCAGTATGATATTGGCTGTTGGTCTGTCATAAATAGCTTTTATTATTTTGAGATACGCTCCATCAATACCTAGTTTATTGAGGGTTTTTAGCATAAAAGCCTGTTGAATATTGTCAAAGACCTTCTCTGCATCAATTGAGATAATAATGTGGTTTTTGTCTTTGGTTCTGTTTATGTGGTGAATTATGTTTATAGACTTGCATATGTTGAACCAGCCTTGCATCCCCAGGATGAATCCTACTTGATCATGATGGATAAGCTTTTTGATGTGCTGTTGCAATCGGTTTGCCAGTATTTTATTGAAGATTTTTGCATCTATGTTCATCACGAATATTGGCCTGCAGTTTTCTTTTTTGCTGAATCTCTGCCCGGTTTTGGTATCAGGATGATGTTGGTCTCATAAAATGATTTGGGAAGGATTCTCTCTTTTTGGATTGTTTGGAATAGTTTCATAAGGAATGGTATCAGCTCTTCTTTGTATGTCTGGTAGAATTCAGCTGTGAACCCATCTGGACCTGGGCTTTTTTTGGGTGTTAGGCTCTTAATTGCTGCCTCAACTTCAGCCCTTGTTATTGGTCTGTTCAGGGTTTTGACTTCTTCCTGGTTTAGGCTTGGGAGGATGCAAGTGTCCAGGAATTTATCCATTTCTTCCAGGTTTACTAGTTTATGTGCATAGAGTTGTTTGTAATAATCTCTGATTATGGTTTATATTTCTGTGGAATCTGTGGTGATTTCCCCTTTATCATTGTTTATTCCATCTATTCGTATACACCAATAACAGACTTAAAGAGAGCCAAATCAAGAATGAGCTGCCATTCACAATTGCTACAAAGAGAATAAAATACCTAGGAATACAACTAACAAGGAACGTAAAGGACCTCTTCAAGGAGAACTACAAACCACTGCTCAATGAAATAAGAGAGGACACAAACAGATGGAGAAACATTCCATGTTCATGGTTAGAAAGAATCAATATCATGAAAATGGCCATACTGCCCAAAGTAATTTACAGATTCAACGCTATCCCCATCAAGCTACCAATGGCCATCTTCACAGAACTGGAAAAAACCACCTTGAACTTCATATGGAACCAAAAGAGAGCCTGCATAGCCAAGTCAATTCTAAGCAAAAAGAACAAAGCGGGAGGCATCACACTACTGGACTGCAAACTATACTACAAGGTTACAGTAATCAAAACAGCATGGTACTGGTACCAAAACAGAGATATAGACCAATGGAACAGAAAGAACAGAGGCATCGGCGATAACACAACACATCTACAATCATCCCATCTTTGACAAATCTGACAAAAACAAGCAATGGAGAAAGGATGCCCTGTTTAATAAATGGCGTTGGGAAAACTGGCTAGCCATGTGCAGAAAGCGGAAACTGAACCCCTTCCTGACACCTTGCACTAAAATTAACTCCAGATGGATTAGGAGTTAATCCTTAAACATAAGACCTAACACCATAAAAACCCTAGAAGAAAATCTAGGTAAAACTATTCAGGACATAGGTGTAGGCAAGGACTTCTTGATCAAAACACCAAAAGAATTGGCAACAAAAGCCAAAATAGACAAATGGGACCTAATCAAACTTCACAGCTTCTGCACGGCAAAAGAAACAGTGATTAGAGTGAATTGGCAACCAACAGAATGAAAAAAAAATTTTTGCAGTCTACCCATCTGACAAAAGGCTAATATCCAGAATCTACAAAGAACTAAAACAGATTTACAAGAAAAAACAAATAAGCCCATTCAAAAGTGGGCAAAGGATATGAACAGACACTTTACAAAAGAAGGTATACATGAGGCCAACAAACATATGAAAAAATGCTCATCATCACTAATCATTAGAGAAATGCAAATCAAAACTACATTGAGATACCATCTCACACCAGTTAGAATGGTGATCTTTAAAAAATCTGGAGACAGATGCTGGAGAGGATGTGAAGAAGTCGGAACACTTTAACACTGTTGGTGGGAGTGTAAATTAGTTCAACCATTGTGGAAGACAGTGTGGTGATTCCTCAAAGATCTAGAAATAGAAATTCCATTTGACCCAGCAATTCCATTACTGGGTATATATCCAAAGGATTATAGATTGTTCTACTATAAGGACACATGCACACGAATGTTCACTGCAGCACTGTTTATGATAGCAAAAACCTGGAACCAACCCAAATGCCCATCCATGATAGACTGGATGGGGAAAATGTGGCACATATGCACCATGGAACATTATGCAGCAATCAAAAACGATGAGTTTGTGTCCTTTGTAGGGACATGGATGAACCTGGAGACCATCATTCTCAGCAATCTGACACAAGAACAGAAAATCAAACCCCACATGTTCTCAGTCATAGGTGGGTGTTGAACAATGAGAACACATGGATACAGGGAGGGGAGCATCACACACTAGGGTCTGTTGGGGGGAAACGGGAGGGACAGCGGGGGGCGGGGAGTTGGGGAAAGATAGCATGGGGAGAAATGCCAGATATAGGTGATGGGGAGGAAGGCAGCAAATCACACTGCCATGTGTGTACCTATGCAACAATCTTGCATGTTCTTCACATGTACCCCAAAACCTAAAATGTAATAAAAAAGAGAAAAACTAAAGCTAAGTTTGTCCAGTAATTAGTAGGTATTGTATAAAACATATAGTTTAACTGATAATTTGTAATATGGCAGTACGTACTTTGCATAATAAAGTGACTTTTTGTACATTAGAAGTAAAAAAAAAAAAAAAGAAATTTCTTTACACTTTTAACCTGATCTGTCTCTATTGCTCCTCTCCCTTGTATTTCTTCCTATCATTTGAAACCTTATTTCTATTCGTACAGTGCTCTCAGTTAGTGATTACTTCTTTATTCTTTTTCCTTAAGCCTCTGAATCTAGAAAATAAGTTAATATTTTTGTTATTATTCAGTGCTATTTCCAGATTATAGCTGCACTGACTTCTACCTTGTTATCCTATCATCATTCTTTCCTTGAAGTCTAGGATGTCAGATCATCATCTTCTTTCTAGCTTTGTTACCATCTCCTACCAACCTGTAAATAACATTCTTCCATGTTCCTGAAAAGTTTGAATTCCATGTGTGGGCCACACCTTCTTTCTTGAAAACTCTTTCCACCCTTAGAATCTATGAACTTGTTTTTTTACACCACATTTTAGTTCTTTCTCAATACTGTTTAGCTGACTCCTAGTCCCCCAGCCCCTTAAAGGCAGGCATTTTCCAAGGTTCTTATCCCACCTACTCTCTACTCTCTTTCTCATTTTTTTCCTTCACATTTTAAATCAATACAACGTTTTCATATCTGTGCTTAAGGAAGACGAATCTAGGGGTATTTACAGGTAATATCAAAGCTAATGGCCTCTCTGTGAGCCCTTCAAATTTATTTCCTATACTGCCTAAAGATTATAGATTAATCCTTACAATACATAGCCCTCAAGGTTAATGACATTCTTTAGTTCTTCATTACTTACATGATATAGACCCAATTCCATGATCCTAAAGTAAAAGAAAGTAAGTTTTAACCAGAAAAACTTACTCTTACATGTTGTAGGGAAGCTGTCGTTCATTCATTCAATCCAACAAGTATTTTTTGAGCTCTTCCTAGTTTTTAGGCTCCGATCTAAGTGCTGGAAATACATCAGTGAACACAGACAACCTAGATGTCCTCCTGTCTTGAAGCTTAGCAGAAAATAATGTAAACATACAATAAACAATAATGCATAAGTAAATTAGTATGCTAAAAGGTAATAAATGATATAAAAATATAATGTAGGGTACAGCAGAATAAGAGGAGTTAGAATGTTAGGGAGTGGATGTGTGTGTGTGTGTATGTGCGTGTGCATGTGTGTGTGTGTGTGTTTGTGGTAGTAGGGAGGAGGCAGGCTGCAAAGATTTGAAGGACATCAGGGAGTGAGTCAAATGAACAGCTGATGTAAGAGCCTCGCAAATGGAGAGGAGAGCCAGTGTAAAGGTCGTGATACAGAACTATGCCTGGTATGATGGAGAACAAATATTAATGTCAATATTTTTATCCTCTTCATGGTCAATAACCTTTGATACCTCCTCTACCAACCCTTGAGAGCATCAATGTATTACAGTCATTTGTAAGAGTGGATTAAACAGATTCAGAATATTTGTATAAGGGAGCCAGAAATGTATGATGCATTTTTAAAGACCTCTGCTAAAATGTTTAATAAACAAATTTGTATTATTTTATCCATTAACCACTAACATTTTCTAAGAGTTTCAAGGAGGCAGGATTTCTAATATATAAGAGGAGACAAAATAGCAATAATGTGCTTCATAGTATAGTATATAAAAGCAAAGTGAACTGCATCAAAACATAAATATTAAAAGCATAAAAGCCAGCTTTTTTCACAATGTGAAAAAAGTGAAATGTCCCAGTTAGTTGTTCAGCAAGTAACACACAGAGGTAAAAATAGATTGTTCTCAGAAAGACAGACAATACAAACTAAATTATGTTTTTTAATTCTTCATAATATCAATTTTAAAGTGAAAACATAGAAATTGTTATTTTTGTAGAGATGACTTAAAACATAGCATTGTTCTTAATATGTTTCATTCATCATATTCTTAAAATATAGACAAAAATTACCTCTCACATTGTAAAATTTTTTTAAAATAATTCTTTTTTAAATTTAAACAAGTACCTTTTGGAGGTCAAATTGATGAATAAATTCAGTGGGACTAATTCTGGATTAATTTCTTGTAGCTTAATTTTGCAGTGGCCAATTCCACAAGCCAGATACGTGTGTACCAACTAACTGTGAAATGTTTTTTCAAATGAGATTCTTAACATTATTGGCATCATCATGGTCATCATCATCATCATCATTAATTTTCCAGCTTCCTGCATGGTTTTGGCTTTAATAAAGGAGACACTCGACTTCAAAAGCTAAATTAAAGAGGAGCTGTCTTATGTTGTCTGGGTGATTTTGTAAAGGGGTCACAGTGTATTCAAATTTTTATATAGCCCCTCACACACTATGTGACATGCTGTGTTCCTGGTTATAGAACCTGAAAGCCACCTGTTGAGTACTATGATGACAGCTCGCAGGGGCAGCCTTTCCAAACACTCCCAACAGTTTTTCTGTTTCCCCTTAGTGATTTATCAATGATCATGGAGTAGAGCAGAAAAAGAGGAGTTGGAGTGTTAGAGAGTGTGTGTGTGTGTGTGCGTGTGTGGTTATGGTAGTGAGGAGGCAGTGATAAGGGGCTAATTTGGGAATCCTGGCAGTATTAAGGGGCTAACTTGGGAGTGCCAAGTGCCCAGTCTTTGCTATTAACAGTAGTCGTCTTTTAGAGGAGAAGGCAGCCTGTTGCTGTGGATAGAACCATGTCTGAGAGTTAAAAGACCTTAGTTCTGTTCACTGCTCAGTCACCAACCAGCTGCTTGACCTTGGGCACATCACTTTGGTATGCAGTTTCCTCATCTGTAAACTAAGATGACAGAACTCTTTTTCTTTTTCTTTTCTTTTTTTTTTTTTGAGACAGAGTCTTGCTCTGTCACCTGGAGTGCAGTGGCATGATCTTGGCTGGAGTGCAGTGGCATGATCTCGGCTCTCTGTATCCTCCGTGTCCCAGGTTCAAGTGATTCTCCTGCCTCAGCCTCCCAAGTAGATGGAATTACAGGCATGCATTACCTTACCCGGTTAATTTTCGTATTTTTACTAGAGATGGGGTTTTGCCATGATGGTCAGACTGGTCTTGAACTCCTGACCTCAACTGATCTGCCTGCCTCAGCCTCTCAAAGTGTTGGGATTACAGGTGTAAGCCACTGCACCCTACTCAATGTGACAGAACTCTTTAGCTCTTCCCATTGCTATACAAGTTTACAGGAGAAAATAAGTGACCTTCTTACTTACAGTTAATGTGGTACAGAATGTCTTTGTAGAAAATGCAGAATGTGAATCTAATATCTAGATCCAGGATCCAACTGTAAAGTTTTTTTGAAGACTTACCTCCAAAAAACGTATTCTTGGTTTCCTTGCACTGCTGTAACAAATTACCACGAACTTGGTGATTTAAACAACAGAAATGAATTATCTCATCATTCTGGAGGCCAAAGTCTAAAATCAAGGTGCCAGCAGGGCTATGTCCCGTATGAGGCTCTAGGGGAGAACTCTTTTTTGCCTCTTCTAGCTTCTGGTAGCTCCTAGCATTCCTTGGCTTGTGGCAGTGTAATGCCAGCCTCTGCCTCTGTAGTCACATGGCGTTCTCCTCTTCTGTGTCTTCTCTTCTATCTCTCAAAAGGACATTGTCACTGCATTTACAGCCCACATGGATAATCCAGGATGATCTTATCTCAATGTTCTCAACTTAATTACATCTGCAAAGACCTTTTCCAAATAAGCTCACATTTATAAGTCCTAGGACTTGAGACGTAGACAGGCTTTTGAGGACAGTCATTCCACCCACAGCACAAGGTTAAAGGCAAGTGGTCCAACTTTCTTCTGTAGATTAGATAGGCCAATGTTCAAAAGGAAGGAACTTTGATGTGAAATGTAATGCCAGCTGGGGAGAGTTTTGGGAATTTGGGGGTTACAGGGAAGGGGAGCACTACCGGCAGAATGAGCAAGGGTCTGGGTTGTTTCTTGCCTTGTAATGTGTGGGACACGCTGGCTTGAAGAAAATGTCCGACGTCCTCTGCAACTTTCCCAAGTTGTCCCCAACTTGTCAGATGTCTCTGAGGACATTCACGTAGGTGAAAAACCTGTTTATAATGATCTGGGTCTAGAACATATCTGCATATTACAACAAACACAAACAGGAGGTTATATTATGTGTGAATTTCATTTCAGAGTAGTGAAAGGAATATTACAAAGTATCTGTTATAGAAGGAGAGCGTTGAGTCTGAGAGAGTGAATACTCAAAGAGAAAAGTATCCCCCCAATGTGTTTTTATCAAATTTTTAATGTGACTTTTCTAGGAGAGACTATTTTATTAGCATTTCCTAAAGTAACCCTATTGTCAGTCTCTCCCTCAGTGATGCATATTTAGATCTTTGTGGCTTGTAACAGTCTTGGAGAGTTGTCTAGAGCTCCTGAGATGGGAACCAGGGTCCTATGTAGTGAAATCTCTTTTCCCAGTCCTGTTGGGTAGTACTAACACTGTAATTAGCCTTTCTGAAACGTAATTTTCTTATTTCTCAAATAGGAATGCTATACATCAAGAGATTCTTGCTAAAATCTAAATCTAAAAATTCCCAAATAAATAAACTATAAGGGTATATCTAAATACAAATTGGATACTCAGAAGTAAAAACCCTCTGAGCAGAAATAAAACTCACCAAGGTTGGTTTCTTCCTCTGTTCCACTGCCTACCTGTGTGGCATTTAGAGATAAGAAAGTGGGGGAGGATAATAATTCATACTTCAAAACCAAATGCTCTGGAGGTGCTCCTATAATTAACTCCATTAATGGTAGGCTGTGACCCATGTTTTAAACATCTGTTCTCGTGCTCTCTGATTGAGTGCCAAAGCAATATCTTTTGAAGGATTTGGAAGGGGAATATAAAGGAACCATATTTTAGGGAGCCCTGAAATATGTAGCTCCTGGTGTGTGATGGCCTTCAGACAGAATTCCTACCACACCCAAAAGACCAGAGAATCTGGCTTCCTACCGGGATCCTCCCACTCATTCCCTGTTGTCCTCACTGTCTTTGTCTGGTCCTTGAAAGGTGAATCACATCATATCGCCTTGACTCTCCTTAGAACTTTCTTCCCCATACTTTCTATTATATTCAGGTCTCTGATCAAAATGTCCCCTTTTTTCTTGGTTTCCTTATATAAAATATATGCTATTTTGCCACAACCAATCATATTTCCTTACCCTATTTTATTTTTCCTGTAGCACCTGACGCTGAATTATACAGTTATTTGATAATTTGTATATTGCCTCTGTCTCCTACTAGAACATAAGACCTGCGAGCACAGGGATATTGTCTGATTGATTGTTTTATCCTCAGTGCCTAGAGCAGGAACTGGCATAAAATCGGCTCCTCGTAAATATTTGTGCACTGAATGAATTTCACTCTTTCTTAATTGTATATTTTTCACCAGGTCTAAAGCTCCAGACTGACGCTTATTCATGTGTTTCTCCTACATGTTTTCTTTGTGATTTAAAATGATGTGCTTTTCCTGGGGAAAGAGTCTTACCTTCCATTTTCGTTTACTTTCTGATTTTCCTTTTAATAATTAATAAGTATCTTGCCTAATCAACCTTTATTATTTTTCTATCCAAACTATTTGTTACTCAGGGCTGAAAGGAATAGTTAGAAGTTTGGCTATAGGTCAAGGGCTGTGGCTCATGCTTGTAATACCAATACTTTGGGAGGGTGAGGCAGGCGGATCACCTAAGGTCGGGAGTTCGAGACTGGCCTGATCAACATGGAGAAAACTTATCTCTAATAAAAAAAATACAAAAAATTATCTGGGTGTGGTGGCACATGCCTGTAATCCCAGCTACTTGGGAGGCTGAGGCAGGAGAACTGCTTGAACCTGGGAGTGATCATTGTGGTGAGCTGAGATTGTCATTGCACTCCACGCTAGCCTGGGCAACAAGAGTGAAAGTCCGTCTCAAAAAAAAAAAAAACACAAAGAAGTTTGGCTACAGAGGTATGCCAGGTTTCAAAGGCCTCCAAACGTGGTTCAGTCAATTCATTAGGCAAACTTTGCAACACAAATCACTAAATACAGGAAAGATTAATGGAACAGTCCAAGGAGATTTACAGCAGACTGTGAAAAAACAGATTCCTTGAATTAAGGCTCTAGGGAAGAATTATGTCTCTTCGGTCTCTTATAAGGACATCGTCACTGCATTTATGGTCCACGTGGATAATCCAGGATAATCTTATCTCAATGTTCTCAACTTAATTACATCTGCAAAGACCTTTTCCAAATAAGCTCACATTCATAAGTTCTAGGAGTTGAGATGTAGACAGCCTTTTGAGGACAGTCATTCCACCCACAACACATAGTTAAAGGCAAGTGGCCCAACTTTCTTCTGTAGATTAGATATGCTAATGTTCAAAAGGAAAGAACTTTTATGCAAAATGTAATGCCACCTGGGGAGAGTTTTGGGAATTTGGGGGGCTTATGATGATTGGGGAAAAATAGAAGTTACTGGTTACCATTGTAGGAGGGTAGCAGAATATACCACCCCAAAATATGCCATTTTGACGTAAGGATTATTTTAAGCTGAAGACAATTGAGAAGATGCAGATACAAGAAAACCCCTCTACCCTTATTTGCCTAAAAAAGTGCATAAATTTGCATAGATGCCCCTGCTCCTCTCTCTACTATGAAGAACAGAAGTTAATCAACGTAGACAACCTTAGACCTTTATGAGCCCAAAGATGGCACCAGAGGAACCTATCTAACAAACTTTACTAATTTGCCCTTAACCTTCCACTAGTTTCTCCATATATTTGCCTTCCCACAATGTGTTGCCCCTAGAAATGGAAAGTCCTCTTCCTTTGTCTTGTCAGTTATTTAAAAATGTATTGTTCCTCTGCAAAGGTGCTAGATAATATCAAATTAGAAGCAATCCTTTAAGTTAGTCATCTATGGGTACTCAGGTAGGTAAGCACAATGCACTTGCTAATAAGTTGTTTTTCTCTTAATCTGTCTTTTGTCAATCTAACTTACAAGGCCCTAGCCAGGCTCTAGTGATCCCCTCATCTTGACCTCTCAAAGTGCAGGGATTAAACAAAAATAAAAACAACCCCCTGAAATGTACCTTTAGATATAAAGGCATGGACTATTACCATTTTCTCAAAGGCAATGTATATGAACAGATACTAATGTGAGGCAATGGGATGAAGTGTTAGGCTTTTCTTCCCACCTATTTGTTTTGAGTAGGTCTGGTTCTGTCTTTAGTCTTATGTTTGCCTAGCTGATGTATGAAATGGGTGTGTGAGCACCACACCCTCCCACAGGACTGCAACTTTGACGTCAGCAAGCTTCATTAGTTGCTGTTTGTTTAACCAAAGAGAACACGGGAAAGGTGGAATCTGTCTTTTAATTATCGGTCTGCCCACATGCCAGGTGTCACCTGGCCAACATTCAGACATCAAATAGACCAAGCCAAGCAAGGAAACATGAAATAACAGGAACAAAAGGCATAAAAGGAACCCAAGAGAGGCTGCTGGGAGTGCAGAGTTCACTGTCGAACTTTGTGAAAGTTTGGTAGAGACATGATGTACCTAGAAGTTAGGCGGACCCAGATTCATAACCTAACTTTGCCACTTATCAGTTGAGGGTCTTTTTGCAAGTTATTTAAATGTCTGAGCCCTATTTCCAAGATTAAAACAGGAATAATAATATAAACCTTTCAGGGTTTTTAAAAAATGATGTGAACCATATGCTGCATTGTACTACTCACTAACTGGTAGGAGTTACTATTCCTGATACTCTACGGAGAAAGACAGCATCTGATGATGTTTTATTTCATGTCTCATGCTCACATCGACACTGACTATGGAACCAGCTTGCAGAGGAATGCCCTAGAGCCAAAGCCACCACACGAACATTTTTTGCCCACTTGAAGAAAGCTTCTCACTCCAGCCTCCATTAGGCTTCTGTTCTGTGGAAACACAAGATCACGTAAAGTTCTATAGGAAGTGAAGCCATAAGAATCTTTGGTGAGTCAACCTGGTATGACCCTTACCCTGGGGCAGAGCCTGAGGGAGCTAGCATGGAATCACAGTCCTGGTAAAAATAAGACTTTTACCGAGGCCAAGAATGGAGAACCCGAATACGTAAAGAAAGAGTTGAAAAGTAAAGGAGAAGGCAGAAGGGTTAGCCATTAATTTAGCCACGGATCATCCTATGTATTAGCAGGTAATCTTTGGCATGTTACCTAACCCAAGTCTTATTTTCCATTGCTGTAAAGTGGAGATAATAAATACCTACCTCAAAAGTTGATTATCATGATCAAATAAGATAACATTGGTGAAGCACCTTACAGATTACTCAATACTTGACAAGTACTCAAAATATCAGTTGCTACTTCCTTTCCACAAATCCTCTTTCTCATATGGCAAAGTGTTGGAGCTGGGGCACACTGGAGCTACGTGTTATTGCCTCTTCCCTACTTCATGTTCAGGGATACCATGTGGATTGTTTGAAATTAGCTATGATGGGAGTATTTATACCATGGATATTGGCCAATTGCTTTATGTATTGTTCCTCTACTGAGATGCTAGATAATCTCAAATTAGAAGCAATCCTTTAAGTTAGTCATCTTTGGGTACTCAGGTAGGTAAGCACAATGCACTTGCTAATAAGTTGTTTTTCTCTTATTAATCTGTCTTCTGTCAATCTAACTTACAAGGCCTAGCCAGGCTCTAGCGATCCTCTCATCTTGACCTCTCAAAGTGCAGGGATTAAACAAAAACAAAAACAATCCCCTGAAATGTACCTTTAAAGTGGAAGGGCTTCCTTAACACCGTCCACCAAGAAAAAGCTCATTTTAAAATCTTAATTAGCATACCACTAGTTATCGAGCAGGTAATTTAACATCTTTGACCCTTGGTCTTGTCATCTCTCAGTGAGGGAGAATACAATTCTATCAAACTCACAAGAATTTTGTGTTAACATAATAAAAAATGCAGAGTGACTTGAGAGTAGGTAGTGATGATTAATATTGTTAGCTAGAGAGAGTGCCAATGGTATTTCTTCCTGAAAAGAACTCTCAAGTCCCAGTTTTTCTGAATACTCTGGGGAGGAAGAAGATCATAAAAATGAGCATCTCAAGTATAATAAGGTTGGCATGCTTACCTTCTAATCAAATACATTCAACGAGTATATATGCCCTAGATCCTATGCTGATGCCAGGCTATAACAGTAGTGAAGATAGAGTCTCTGCCTTTAGAGGGCTTAGTAAAGGAAAACAGGTTAGCAAACAAGAGTAACCATCCTGAGAGAAAAGTGTAATGACAGAGGTGAGCGCAGGTTGCTCTAGAACTATGCTATCTAAGGGGGTAACCACTAGCCACATATGGCTGCTAAGTACTTGAAATGTGGGTAGACCAAACTGACATGTGCTCTTAAATGTAAAACACACCAGATTTTGAAGATTTACCATTAAAAAAGTAGACTATCTTATCAATAATTTTATTATATTATTTGTTGAAATATTAACATTTTGGATGTGTTGGGTTAAATAAAACATTATTAAAATCGATTTCATTGGTTTCTTTTTTACTTTTTAAAGGCAGCTACTAGAAACTTTAAAATTACATATTTTTTGCCTGTAATCCCAGCACTTTGGGAGGCTGAGATGGCAGATCACTTGAGGTCAGGAGTTTGACAGCAGCCTGGAAAACATGGTGAAACACCATCTCTACTAAAAATATAAAAATTATCTGGGCATGGTGGCAAAGACCTGTAATCTTAGCTACTCTGAAGGCTGAGGCAGGGGAATTGCTTGAACCCAGGAGGTGGAGATTGCAGTCAGCAGAGATTGCACCACTGCACTCCAGCCAGGTTGACAGAACAAGACTCCATCAAAAAAAAAAAAAAAATTACATATGTTTCTTGCACATTTTATTTCCATTGGACATTTGTACAGCTTCTTTGGAGAAATGTCTATTGAAATCCTTTGCCCATTTTAAAATTGGGTTGTTTTTCTTTCTGTTGTTAAGCAGTAAGTGTTCTTTATTATTCTAAATACTAGACCCTTAAAAGATAAATGATTTGAATAAATTTCCCCCAATCTGTGGGTTGTCTTTTAACTTTCCTAATAGCATGTTTTTTGAGATAGTTTGCCTATACTAGGTCTCTTAAATTTCCATATAAATTTTAGAATTAACTAATCCTTTTCTGTAAAGAAGGTGGTTGGAATTTTGATAGACATTGCATTGAATCTATAGTTCAGTGTGGCGAATATTAACATCATAACAATATTAAATCTTCCAACCCATGAACATTTATTTAGATGTTCTTTAATTTCTTTGTGTAGTGTTTCATAGTTTTCAGTGTACATGAAACTTGGTTAAATCTTTTCCTAATTATTTTATTTTTTATGCTATTACAAATTGTCATAGTGGAATTACAGTGACTTTATTAGGACTTGCTTTGATTGTATATTTTCCCAATTTCTCTGGCCACCTGCCTGCTTCTTCTAGTATCACACTCAGCTTTTATGCTCCATTAATTACTGGCTGATTGCTCGGCTGTTTTGAATAACGCCCAGGATGTTAACTACTTCATTGTCTGATACAATTAAATTTAGGCCCTTTGCAGAGATAGCTTCTGAGGCAAGTCTTTGAGATTTGTTCTGACCCCTGGATGGTTCCCCTTAGCAGTCTCTAGCCAACTACAATTTACCTTGTTACTCAAATGGAGCTACCAGCCTCCTTTTAACTGCTTACCACCAAAATCTTCATTGTTTTCAAGAGTGACCTTAGGCTTGAACTTCCCCATACTGTGCTTCAAATAAAGCCCATTTCTTTAGGAAGAAGTTTGGAACTTTCTATTCTTCTGAAAAAACAAAAAATAGAAAGGAAGCACCTCTCCCTCTGAACAAAATCTTGGAGTCCCTGTTCTGGAGCAGCAGAAGAAAACAGTCCCTGTTCTGGAGCAGCAGTGGCAAATTTATCTTGGAGTGATATTCCTGCTTAACAAGCAGGGCATTGGATGGGGGTGATAGCCTCTGCTCTGCTGGCTTGCCTTTTCCAGCATGGAATCTTTGTTCCATGAATAAGCTGAGGCAAGAGTAGTCACAATCTCATTATTTTCAGCCTGCCACATCTGGGGTCAAGCCTGTGCCTCTAAAAGTATGAGATGAGTGGAGGAAAGGAGCCACTATATTTGGGACATACTTGCCTAGAATGTAGCCTATGAACTTGGAGCTGGAGGGGATGAGAAATGCTGGTGGTCTGCCCTTCTTGGTAAGTTAACGTATTATTTAACTGGAGGCTAAGAGTTGAGGGACCTTGTTTTCTTGGCCATCCACCCAGACTGGAGCTTCAGGCATTGCACTGAAATATGGATGAGTGAGGACAGGAGCGGTGGTGACTCAAGTGCCAGACTCTTGGTGTTCTTACCGAGGTTTAGCATATTTTTTTGAATAAATCTTTCTTCATTTGCATATATCCTTAGATCAATTTTCAGAGATGTCAATTGGCTGTTTTAATACAATTTTCATTAATTATAGCTGTTTCCTGGAGAGCAGGTCCTTAGAGCTCTTCTTGCTGGCCTTCTGGAAGTGGAAGGAGTAATAGACAAAAGTCTAAAAACCATAAAGGGGAAAATTTGGCTTTTTACTGTATTAAAATGAAAAGCATTTGTTCAACAACAGGTGGCATATAAGAAGTTAACTAGTGGCCAGGCGGCTCAAGCCTGTAATCCCAGCACTTTGGGAGGCCGAGGCGGATAGATCACGAGGTCACGAGATTGAGACCATCCTGGTCAACATGGTGAAACCCCGTCTCTACTAAAAATACAAAAAATTAGCTGGGCATGGTGGCGCATGCCTGTAATCCCAGCTACTCAGGAGGCTGAGGCAGAGAATTGCCTGAACCCAGGAGGCGAAGGTTGCGGTGAGCCGAGATTGCACCATTGCACTCCAGCCTGGGTAACGAGCGAAACTCCGTCTCAAAAAAAAAAAAAAGTTAACTAGTGAATACAAAGTGGCTGATTAAGATAAAGTATCTATAAAGTATATTGGTAATAAAATATTGCATACTGTTAATGGATCTACATCTAGAATGCATAGAAAACCCTGTTAATCTGCAACAAATAATCAGCAACCTAATAGAAAAAGGGACAGTAGATGTAAACGGGCATCCACAGAAAGTGGAAACCCTTAGAGCTAATACATTCATTGAAAGAGGCTTAGCTTCATTAGCACTCATTTAAAATCCAATTAAAACGAGATTTCATTTTTCTTTCAACAATAGGCAAGAAATAAGTAATATGCTATCAAATATTGATAAAAAATCAGGAAGCAGAAAGCTTCATGTACTGCTGGTGAGAGTATAAGCTTTGGAGAACAACCTGGTGGTTTTCAGTGTAATTAAGAATGCATTTCTCTTATAACCCAGGAAATCCCATGCTTGGGCAATTATCTTAGAAAATATTTCACAAAGAAACATTGTTACTAATATTTGTCAGAGCAGAGATTTGGAACCAACTGCAAGTGTTCATCAACAGGGAACAGATACACATAATGTGGTATAGGTACATTATCAAATACAGTGTATCAATCAAAAAGAAGGAACTAGATCTATATATATCAATGAAGGTAGTTCACAAATGTAATACTGAGTATAAAAAGTAAAAAGCAAAATAAAATGCTTAGCACAATGCAACTTGTATAAAACACAAAGCAGTACTTTATGTTGTTCATTGTTACACAAACTTGTAAATAAAGGTATGGATGATGGAATGACATGCATTAAATATGTGAGCTTGAACGTGTGTGATGGGAGAAGAGATGGCAAATGGCGTTGAGTATGGAAGGTGAAGACGACAAAAAAAGTGCATAAAATTAAATTTAAAAGGACCTGTGCAGGTTGCGCTCTCAATCATGTGCTACGAACTATAGAGTATGAGTCATCTTGTCACTCAGATCCTGGATGTGAGAGCTTCACAATATTAGTCACGGCAATAAAACGAGATAATGTGTGTATAAGTGTCTAGCAGTGCAACCAGGCATTGCTAGTTCTCCTCTCCTTTCTGACTACCTTATTGAGACAGCATCTGAATATTCAAGATATTCAAGATAGACTTTGAAAATTCTTACAAAAATTATAGTTTCAATTACTTTTGTGAAAACTAAGCATGAAATACTATTATTGAAATTGCTATTTATTTGCTTAAACTGGCCAGTGGCTCAGCCAGGTAGAGACCAACTGAGAGTGCAAGAGTGTAAAAAGAAAGTATTTCAGCAAGGCAAGCTGTCAAGCCTTGTATGAATTGTACATAGAAAATGAAAATAAAAAATTCCAGGCAAAATCTGTAAGTTCTAAAATATGGTCCAAATGGTGCCATCTGCTCATAAAATCATAGAGAGGCTGTTGGAACTTTCCAGCACTGGGTTGGATTGTCTCCACAAAGCTGCTGAGGCAAAATTCTGTGGCACCAGATCATCAGAATTTCCAAGGGAAGAAGGCCATTGTATGGTTTAACTCTCTTTGCCTTATATGTTTTTGCACAGTAATCTCCAAAGTAAAGGAAATGAAGACTTACCCTCACAAACCACCTCTTCAACTGTACTTCCTTCTCCTGAACTAAAAATCTGGAATCCACCCACTTTATTATCACAACCTGTCCAATTCATAACCATCCGTCAGATCTCATCTCAAGGCCAAGAGAAAGTGGAAGAGTAAGGGCACTGGATAAAGATAAACCTGGGTTCAGCTTAGACTCAGCATCTTATTAGCTACATGAGACTGGGCATGGTTTTAAATGTCATTGTGCTGCAATTTCTTGAGCAAAATGAGGAAAATGATATCTAACTTTTGAGTTGTTATGAGGGCTAAAAAATTAGAGCAGGCACTCAAATCAGTATTTACACATTATTTCCCCTTCAGGTTCCTTGACTTCCTATATCCCCACAGATTTCTCCTTTCTCAAAACACATGTAGGTGCAACTCAATAACTTACCGTCTTGATTGTGGTTTCATTTCATAATGTAAGTCTTATCTCTCCAAAAACAGCTTGACAGGAACTTTCTTTTCCTTCTTCTGTCCTCATTCTCTGCCTTTTCTCTCATTTCTTTCCTCCAGTGCCTAGAAAACTGGTGCTTAACAAGTGCTTGTAGACATCCTGACTGGAGGGCTCCCACCCTTCCTAGACGCCTGTAGGAAAACATCTCTGTTGAGTATGGAGAAGTCTGGACAAGTGTGCGGGAAAAGTGTATTACCAGAAAATGAAGCACTATGTTGCCGTTGGACAGACAATCCGACTGCAGAGAAAGGTGCCGAGCACCTCTGTGTTCCTGCAGCACCACCTCTTAGTCCTTACAGAGCGCCTACCCCAGATAGGCAACTGGAAGCCTTTTCCAATACGATGTCTTTGCTCCTTCCCAGATAAACCCTCACAATCTTCTTTTCACCCTCCCTCTGTGTTTTCCTAGGGCGCCTGGAGAAGTTACTAATGGCTCTATCCTGAAGTGACTTCAGGGCTTCCCAGGGTGTAAGTGAGAAGGTTTCAAGTTCTTCAGATTATTCTAAGGGGGGCATTTCAGATCAATAAGAAAACAACATTTCTTTTGTCAAGAGAAAATCCTGCTCGGAGAGTAACTTCAATGCCTCACTCTGCTGACAAAGTTTCTGTTTCCCTATTGCCTTACAAAAAATTTCCTCCCATTTATTGACCACTTGTATTTATGACTATAAGGTATGTGCTATTATTATCCCTGTTTTACAAATGAGGAAACAGGCATAGAGTTTGAATACCATGCACAAGGTCTGTATCTATTGCCTAATGAAAAATGGAACTGCTACTGTCCCGTAGTTAAATAAGGTGTGGGGAAAAGAAAATCCCACCCTGCCACGTAAGTCTTAGTGTATGGAATTGCCTGTTCTGCAGATTTCCCTATGAGTAAGTGGGTAACATAGGTGCCTTGTTCTCCACTCAATTTCCTGAAAAAGGATTTGGTGGGGTCAGGGCTCAGCCAGTAAGTACGCTTTTCTAGGCCTCCCTTGGCTTTATGTGGTAAGTAGGGAGACCAGGAATCTTGGTGGGGAGATGAGCATTTCCTTAGGGTACTTCTCAGAAAACTTAAGAACCAGGTGTTCTGATTATTACCAAGATAAGATGGAAAGGTCACATAACAATAAACGGTATTAAGAAAAGCCCACCTTATCAGAAAGAAGAACACAAGAGGACATTAATGTAGTTTGTGTATCTGTCCCCACTCAAATCTCATGTTGAACTGTAATCCCCATTATTGGAGGTGGGGTCTGGTGGGAGGTGACTGGTTTATGAGGATGGATTTCTTGTGAATGGTTTAGCACCATCATCTTGGTGCTGTCCTTGAGACAGTGAGTGAATTCTTGCCAGATCTAGTTGTTTAAAAGGGATCTGTCCCCACTTGCTTGCTCCTGCTTTCGCCATGTGACCAGACTGCTCCCCCTTTTCCTTCTGCCATGATTGTAGGTTACCTAAGGCCTCCCTAGAAGCTGAGCAGATGCCAATGCCATGCTTCCTGTAAAGCCTGCAGAACCATGAGTCAATTAAACCTCTTTTCTTTAGAAATTACCCAGCCTTAGGTATTTCTTTATAGCAATGTGAGAACAGCTTAACGCAGACATACTATGACGCAAACCTGTGTACCTGCAAATCCAAAAGAATACTCATTAGAGCAGTGGCCTGACTGTATATTACTTAAGCGCTATAAATAGATAAGGACTGAGGGAGTCCTGCATTCCACTTAAAATACCCCACTGGCTATTAATGGCAGCAAAATAAATAAAAAGTCTGAAAATCATCTTCAGAAAAAGGTGCTTTAGGTAAAACAAAATCAAATGAAATATTTTATCCCCAGAGAAGCAACACTCATTTGTCTGTGTGTCTTCTAGAATGGACCCCAGCAAGGGGGACACACATCTTTGTTTTGCCCTCCACAAGTATAGTAGAGATCTAACCTCTCCTTATTCTGATGCCAAAAAGGGAGGTGACAGTTTAGTTTTCTCCATGATAAGTCTAAAGTTGGTAAGTTTTATTTTCTCCAAATAATAAGGCAGCACTCACTTTTGGAAAGGATTCTCTTTTTCTAGTTCATTTAAACTCATAATTTCACATAGGCCTGTAATAATATGTCACGCCACAAAAAATAGGTCGGTTTTGTCTTATTATTATAAATCAGAGAGAAATATGGCTTAACTGCCAAGGGGATGTTGATTGTGAAATCTAATATCAAACCGTTAAGTCAGAGTGGATGATTTCATGGATATATAACCAGTTTATTTCCCCACAATTCACTGGGAAAAGAGATGCTTCCAATTCTTCTGGGTGCAGGAAGCTGAGTGCCCTCTTGGTAGAAACGTACATGGAGTGCCCTTTCAGCTTCTATGTCATAATGACCCCTAGGAAGACAGCCACTCAGCCAGCTTCAGGATGTCCAAACTTCTGAGGCTCTTGGGCCAAAGGACTTTGCCATTTTCAGTGTAATGCAAATGTCTATGTAGAGCTTTTAACTTTCAAAGGAAATTAAAGCAGTTATATTCTGGCTATTATGTAGAGGTCATTCTTCTGGACATTTAAATCAATCTAGTTATATTTCAATTTGTACAGTTAATATCTGCCAAGCAGTAGCTATGAACGAAACACTATGGCAAACCCTTAAGAACAGCTGTTCTCAAGAGGGAGGAATGTAAGAGACCTGGGAAGTTTTTTTTTCTTTCTTTCTTCTTTTTAACAGCTTTGTTGATGTTTAATTCACATACCATAAAATTTACCCATTTTAAGTGTATGATTCAAGGATTTTTAGTAAATGCACAGAATTACGCCTTGTCACAATTCAATTTTAGAACATTTCCATCATCCCAGGAGTTTTAAAAAATGCCATGCTCAGGCCTCACCTCAGAATAATTAAGTCAAACATTTTGAGGGTGATTCAGGCAGCTTCCCAAGTGGTTATGGAATGCAGCACATATTGAGAAGGACTGCTCTAGGGGATATAAACACGAGTGTTACCTAGTGCCTGCTCTTAGGGAATCTGTCATTTGTAGGCATGGTTTCTCAACCTCGGCACTATTCACATTTGGAGCTGGATAGTTTTTGCAAAGGGCTGTCCTGTGCATTGTAGAATGTTTAGAAGCATCCTTAGCCTCTAGCCACTGAATGCCAGTAACACCTCCCCAACTGCCCTAAACTGTAACAAGGAGGATGAGGAGGAGGAAGAGAAGGAAAAGAAATAAATCTTGTATGTGACCCAGTGTGGAAGAGGAGGAGGAGGAGGAGAAAGAAATCTTGTGTGTGACCCAGTGTGGTATAATGGCAAGATGGTGGTCTTTGAAGCAACAAAGATTTTGACTGATATCCTAGTTCTACCATTGGCTGGTTTTATGATCTTGGACAATGTAGCTAATTTTTTTTTTTGATGGAGTCTCACTTTGTCACTCAGGCTGGAGTGCAGTGGTGCCATCTCAGCTCACTGCAACTTCTGCCTCCCGGGTTCAAGTGATTCTCCTGCCTCAGCCTACTGAGTAGCTGTGAGTACAGACAACAACACCATTCCTAGCTAGTTTTTGTATTTTTAGTAGAGACGGGGTTTCACCATGTTGGCTTTTTGAGACAAGGTCTTGCTTTGTTGCCCTGGTGGGAGAGCAATGTGTAATCACGGCTCACTGCTGCCTTGACATCCTGGGCTCAAGTGATCCTCCCACTTCAGCCTCCCACATAGCTGGCACTACAGGTGTGCACCACCACGCCAAGCTAATTAAAATGATTTTGTTTTATTAGATATGGGGTCTTACTGTGTTGCCCAGGCTGGTCTCAAACTCCTGATCTCGAATCCTCCCTCGGCCTCTCCCAAAATGCTGGGATTACAGACATGAGTCATTGCAATCAGCCAAGGCAGCTAAATTTTATGAGCCTGTTTTCTCATAGTAATTATTCATCACATGTTAATTTAATGTTATCTGTAAAATGAAGATAATGATATTTAGCTTGTTGTAACTTTGGCAGGGGGAATAGATAATATTAGCACATAGTAAAATATACTGTGTATATAGGCTGACATTGGGCGTTTACTCTTTCCCAGGTATTGTGGTAAATGCATTTCACAATATCTCATTTCCTTCTCATAACAATCCTGTTAAATAATACAGTTATTATCTCCATTTTACAGATGAGGAAACTGAGACTTAGAGAAGTTAAATAACTTACCCAGGTCATGGAACTTGGTAAAAAGATTTAAGACCTTTGCTATATGATAATGCTCTTTAAACTTGCTCATCATAATGACCACCTGGCATATTGTTAACAATGCGCATCTCAGGATTTAGAATTTCTGAGAAAACATTACAAATCTGTATTATCTTTTTTTTTTTTTTTTTTGAGACGGAGTTTCACTCTTGTTACCCAGGCTGGAGTGCAATGGTGTGATCTCGGCTCACCGCAACCTCCGCCTTCTGGGTTCAAGCAATTCTCCTGCCTCAGCCTCCCGAGTAGCTGGGACTACAGGCGCACGCCACCATGCCCAGCTAATGTTTGTATTTTTAGTAGAGATGGGGTTTCACCTTGTTGACCAGGATGGTCTCAATCTCTTGACCTTGTGATCCACCTGCCTTGGCCTCCCAGAGTGCTGGGATTATAGGCGTGAGCCACCGCACCCAGCCACAAATCTGTATTTTCTACAAGTACCACAGGTAGTTCCTATGGTTGGTCAAGTTTATAGATGATTCCTATGGTGCTTCTCATCAATAGTGAATAAATATTAAATAAAAAATAATCCAGCTAAAAATTTTGGTTCAGAGGATGAGGGAAATGTGTAGGATTTTGACAGAAATAAGAAAGACTGGATTGCTGAAGGAAGGAATAACATGTACAAAGGTAAGAGGCTTAATGTATCGGTTGTGCTTAGGAATTGCAGTAACAAGAGTTAACATTTACCTTGTACTTCCTGGGACCAGGTACTATCTTAAGTATGTTACCTATATCATCTTATTTAATCTTCACACACAATTTTGTGAGGTGGTACCATTATTTTCTTATTTACAGATGCAGAAGATGAAGGGTAAAAAGGGAAAGCAAGTTGTACAAAAGCACACAGCTAGCAAGAGGTCAGGCTGGGATTTGAAACTAGATGACCCCATGCCAGAGCCTGCCTAACTCACATGCCACAGAGCAA